CCGTGAAGGAAAGTCGTCTTCACATCTATCTGCTCAATCTCTAAACTAAGACTAGCAGCCAAACCTAGAACTGTGTGAATCTAGGAGATTTTCACAACAGGACAAAATATTTTGTCAAAGTCAATACCTTTCCTTTGACCGAATCCCTTAAAAACCAATCTAGCTTTGTACCTGGGCTTCAACTTGTGTTCTTCAACTTTAACTTTGAACACCCACTTGTTCTTCAAAGCTCTCATGCCCTTGGGCAATTTTACCAACTCATAAGTGTGGTTCTCATGCAAAGACTTCATCTCATCTTGCATGGCTTCAATCCATTGATTCTTGTGCTCATCTTCCATGGCCTCCTCATAACATTAAGGTTCTCCCCCGTCAATGAGTAACACATACTTATTGGGTGAATAATGGGAGGAAGGAAACCGCTGTCTTGTGGACCTCTGAAGCGCAATATTTGATTCGTCCACAATTTCATGAGCAACAGGATCATCAATAACAATATCATTGTTATCATCAACATCAATATGTTGATTCGATACATGATTCTGGGCGTCACCATGTTATCAAACCCAACAACATCATGCACACTTGTGTGAGGAACTTCATCATGATGAACTATACCATCAAAACTTGAAAATTCTACCTTCTCTACTTTGTCAATATCTTCAATTGTTTGATCCTCCATGAAATTAATATCACGGCTTCTCACAAGTTTCTTTTCAATTGGATCATATAGCCTGTAACCAAATTCATCTAGGCCATATCCAATGAAGATGCATTGCCTTGTCATGGCATCTAATTTTGACCTCTCATCTTTCGGCACATGTACAAAAGCTTTGAAACCAAATACTCTCAAATGGTTATAGGACACATCCTTTCCATACCAAACACTATTTGGTACATCACTTTGCAAAGCAACAACAGGAGATAGATTAATAACATGTGCATCGGTCAATAAAGCCTCACCCCAAAATGAGTTTGACAACTTTGCTTTAGAAAGCAAACATCTAACTCTTTCCATCAAGGTCTTGTTCATCCTCTCAGCCAAACTATTAAGCTGAGGAGTCTTCTGGTTTCTAATACCTTGATGCTTGCAGTATTCGTCAAATGGTCCACAATATTCACCACCACTATCAGTTCGAATACATTTCACTTTCTTTCCAGTTTCTCTTTTAACTGAAGCCTGAAAATTGCTTAAAGACACCTAACACTTGGTCTTTAGTCTTCAAGACATAGACCTAAAGTTTTCTCGAGCAATCATCAATGAACGTGACAAAGTAAAGTGCACCACCCAATATCTTTGTCTTTATTGGACCACATAAATCAGACTGCACTAACTCAAGCAACTCTGTCTTTCTCGAAGGAGAGTAGGACTTAAAGGAAACTCTATTTTGTTTACCAGCCAAGAGTGCTCACATTTTTCTAATTTAGCACTTTGCAAATTTGACAATAATTTCTTCTTGGCTAGAACATTAAGTCCTTTCTCGTTAATGTGGCTAAGCCTCTTGTGCCATAATGTTGAAGAGCCATCGCTCTCAACCGCATTCACCATATCAACACAAGTAGAGGTCGTATTCCAATATAGACCACGACGTTTGTTACCATGAGCCACAACCAAGGAACCCTTAATGAGCTTCCATTTTCCATCACCGTTGGTACTAACATATCCTTCATCATCTAAAACACCAACAAAAATTAGGTGCAGACGAACATCAGGAGCATGTTTCACATTGTTCAAAACTAGTTTAGTTCCAACACTAGTATCCAAACAAATTGTACCAATATTAACTACCCTAGAAACAGTCTCATTACCCATACTCAAGGTTCCAAAATCACCAGGAGTGTAGGAAGAGAAAAAATCCTTCCTTGATGTCACATGAGATGCTGCACAAGTGTCCATAACCCAGCTTGACTCATCACAAGCAATATTTATCATGTTTGCATCAAGAAGGGTAACAAGATCTTCGATGGTGATGGTGGCTAGGCAATTTTCATTGCCATCTTCTTTAGTTTTCTCTTTGTTTTTGTTCTCCCTCTTCAACTTCCTGCAGAACTTTTTTGTGTGACCTTTAATACCACAATGATAGCACTCAATATCCTTAAGCCTGCCTTTGGATTTGCTCCTATTTTGTTCATTATGCTGAGAACCACGAGTTTTAATTCTCCCCCTAGGGCCAGTTATCAGGACATCCGACGAATAGGAACCTTGAGTTTTTCTTCTCATCTCAAGACACTACTCTTGGCAGAATCCATAGAGATCACACCATCCAGAGCAGAATTTAACAATGACGTTCTAAATGTTTCCCAAGAATCTGGTAGTGAACCAAGTAGAAGCAAGCACTGAATTTCTTCATCAAATTTGATGCCCATAGAAGATAATTGGTTCATAATCCCCTGAAAATTATTCAGATGGTTTGTCATCGGAGAACCATCATGATACTTCAAACTCAACATCTACTTTATTAAGAACATTTTGTTATTGCCAGTCATTCGAGCATACAAACTTTCAAGATGCTCCCATAGGGTTAGAGCATGTGTTTCCCTAGAAATATGGTTCAACACATTATCGTCGACCCATTGCCTATTGAATCCACAAACCTGTCTATGCAACAGATTCCACTCTTCATCTGTTTTATTATCAGGCTTTACAGTGGTAAATACTGGTTTGTAAAAATTCTTAACATAAAGTAGATCTTCCATTTTTCCCTTCCAAATGGCATAATTAACACCATTCAAAGTAACCATTCTAGTTGTGTTGGCTTCCATTGTTTTCCCCAAAAAATATAGTTATCACAAATCAAAGTAAATCTTTTCTGATGTGGAAGTTCAAACTGTGCTGCAACCACAGAGCATACTCAGATAAAACCTTGGCTCTGATACCAGTTTGTTGGGAAAACGCGGACAAGCACAAAAATATATATGGTAAAAGTAATGGAAATAAAATGGAAAAATAACGACACCAAGAATTTTACGTGGAAACCCTTCTGAATAAGGGAAAAAATTACGGGCCAAGAGGAGCAATTGATATTACTATAGTAAGGAATTTTACACTGTGCAGTCACGAATACAATACTCAAAGTGACTACTACACACTCAAAAGGAACAACACTCTTTTGGTTTTCGTCTTACTAAAATATAGCTCACACTCTATTTTTTTTCACTCACTATTTTCTTATGTAGTCTATGGATACCTCACTTTGCTCTCAAAATGGTTTTTCTCTCTAACTTGGTGTGTTCTACAAATGAGCAAGAATGCTCTATTTATATAAGAATAAAACCATGCATATGTCACTAATGACATATGTAAATATAGCAAAGTCAAGAATGGCTGCAAATCTTACCAATTTGCCAACTACCAAATCTTTTATTTTCAACTCCAATTACTATTCTTTTTTAACAATTGCTTGTACCAATTGAATAGCTAAAGTTGACTAAAAATAGGATGGATTCAACAGTTCTGCGTTCTGCAAAATGAGAGTACAGCTTAGCAAAAGTTATGTTAAAAATAAAGGATGGTAGTAGCAACAGAGGCAGGTATATGAATAGACCTTTCATAGTTGGTTGTGACTTAAAGTAAACTACGACGCTCATCACATGTTGTGGATGACGATCCTGTAGGATTATGTGCATTAACCTATAGTATAGAAAATAAGTAGATAAATGTAACTTATATTGTGGCTAACCTATTTCATAAAATTTCTCACACTAAATCAATTGTTCTTCGATAGTAGTTAATGAGGAATGACGAGGAATAAGAAGTTTTTGAGGAAGAGAATCTCTTCGAGCACAGTACTGTGCCCGACGGTGCTCTAAAAGAGCTCTCTTTTTTCAGCAGGAATTTGTTTGTAGGTGATCCGACGTTTAAGATTTTTTGCAATATTTTGTGAATTACTTGTTTGTCCAGTTTGAGTAGCATTCATTGGTATATTTTTTATCAGCCATGAGCGGAAGAGCACTAAGATTTTTCTTGTCAAAGTTGGGAGAAAAACATGCAACAAACAATTTAGAATAGCATATAATAAGAGTCTAACGTTAAGATGTACTATAACTAAGTGCAAAGAAGGAAGTGTAACCACGTACATGTGTTGATTCCCTCTTATTTGAGGCAGAAAAATTTGAGCTCCGAAAGCCTGAGAAAGCTAAAGTAGCTATTTGTCATATTAACAATGGAAGCATCATACAAATTTTTTCTTTAAATAAATAGAGGCAGAACAACAACTTCCAGATCAAGTGAGGAGAAAAAAGCATGTACGTTTGTGTTCTCTGCGGGACTGCTGGCGTACCAATTTTAGGGAAGAAAGACTCTGATTTTCTTTAATATGAACATTTAAGCAGCAAGGGAAAGCTGGAGAACATCCAGCGCAGAACACATCGGTTCGTTCACGTGGGCTCAAAACATGGGCAAAGCAATTAATCATCTAGGGAATAAAAGGATGAGCATCCCAATTCCCAGCTAAATGAACAGAAAGGTTAACATGACAGATAGACCCTCTGTCGTTCAAGGTACCGCACAATTGAAAAGAGGGAATTACCCGCCTGTCCTTCAGGTTGTCCAAAGAAAATTAGCTGGACGTCCACTTTTTTAATTATTTTGCGATTACTTGAGGAACCACCATGTACAAAGGAAATAGGTCGTACGTGACTTTTTTTATTGGTTTGGTAGTATTTGAAGAACCACCACTTCTATAGAATGATAATAGATTGTATTGATCCGTGCATTTTTATTTAGCTTGTATTTGAATTTCATTTTTTATGTGATAAAATTTGCTTAGAGGGTGCAATTTCACTTTTTATGTGATGAAATTTGCTTGAGGAGTAAGTCCAGATAATTAACATATCAAATATGCATATTCGAAGAACTAATAAGAGGACTATACCGAAGCACTACGAGCTTTACAACATAGTTTGACAACATAGTTCTTTTATTTCTTTAGAATCATATGTACTTCCTGATGAAGAAACTTTATTTTTTAAATAATGAAACCAATCATTCACAAAATGAAATCTCAAACAAAAAGGTTTACATATATTCATCAAACACGGCTCTATCCTAAAAAATTGTAATAGTCTAAACTCAATAATTTTGTAAACAAATCTACTTGTAGTTGTTGCTATGCTATAGGTCCTCTGCTTCTTCAAGTTTCTTACAAAAAAGATGGAGCATAAGAACTGACAATAAAAATTGTGCACACTATAACAACTTCCTGCTATATTATGTGTCATCAATCATACATTTCTCAAGGAATCAATATCCTCTAAAACTGAAAAAAGATTTCATTCTAATAATGAATATTAAACCAATCAACCACTTCAAGTGTTATGTCATTTCATTATCAAATTCTGCAAAAGGAATATGTCATCACAATCAAGAGCAAAAATATCGATACAACATCTCAACATGTATAATTTTTTCTCTTTTAAGAAAAACAAAAGTACTTAGTCATAGAGACTCATCTTTGACATCACACACATACAAATAAACCATCAATTTAAGTTATTTGAATATGTAAAAGGAAAAAAAAACTTGCATACAACACAATCAAGTGGCCATAAATATAATAAAAATTCTAATTATGTAAATTCTCAAATACCTAATTTTCAAGTGCAAAAAAATATCTTTACGACATATTTTTTGAACAAGAGGGATATCATCAAATTTTACTTATACTCCTGACAGAAGTACCTCAAAGGTTTAACTTTGTGACTCAAGTATCCTCAAGTAAAATCAAACAATGATAACATAATTTCGCAGAGACTATGACTATTTCTGAAGGAGTGGTGTAGTAGTTGTAGAATCATCCCAACTGGTATGCCCTTACCTTGTATTTGAGTGTGAAAGTTCGACCTTGGCCAGTCAGAAATGTTCGCTTATCTTTTGTGTTTATAACAATTATAATCAATCATTATTGTCCTATTTTTGGGTGATAAAATATTTTCTATATTGATCAGTCGAATAGTAAGGAAAAATATTTAAATATTAAAAAATACCTATTATACATTAGGCTCTCATCAATCCTTGGCTGAAAAGAATCATGTTTCCTAAAAGCATCATAATTGATAGATGAAATATTATAACCTAAAAGTTTAGATTCTACAATTTTTTTATGATTAAATAAAAGATCCAATCAAAATTATTATGCCAAGGAAAAAATACAATCAAATCAATAATATGAAAAATAATGTTATTAGAGAAAGGTAACCGTGATGTTGCATTTTTTGAATTTGTACAACAAGATAATACAACAAAATTCTAACATACATCTCCTAGGAAGCATTTATAAATTGACATTATGTGTTTGCCTATTTTGAAAAAATAACTCTTAATGAATTTATTAATGAGTCCTTGGAATGCCTTTCCGCCGTTGATACGAAATACATCATTGCACAAATATTAATAGTTAAAAAAATCACGTATTAGCACCAACTTACCATAGTTGAGAACCGCAATAAATAGATCCAAATGAAGATGATGAAATAGATCAAAGGAGATAGAAAGGGAAACATATTTTTTTTAACCAAGAAAAAAGTAGCAAAAATTAGATTTTATCCAAAAATTCAAACTTGCAGTCATGGCAGTGACTCCAATTTCTCTTACCATATCATAAGTATTATAAACATGAGTCCAGAGGTAAGATAACCTAAATGTATGTTGAAATGGCTTCATGGTCTGCAATTTGCACAGTACAAAATATTATGACGCAACATAAATGTTCTTATACTTATATTTGTTCAAGATGAGTTACTTATGTGTATGTATATTGCACAAACAACATCTTGAATGAAAAATAGATAAAAGAGTAAAACCCACAGATCCGCTAGGAAAGAGCAAAGATTATAATACAAGATATAATAGATGTTAGTGTTAACAAATTGGGTGTTATGCAACGATTTCTTTCCTACACTATCGATTTGCTCAAAGAAAGAAGAAATCAATCATCATAACCTCATAATTTCTGCAACAATTATTAGTATATTACTATTACTACTGTTAATTCTTACTTTGGGGATGAGAATTTTGAGAGTACAAACAAACATTAGGTGGCCGTTCGGTAGTTCAATTAACTTATAAGAGTTGTTCAATCTATATTTTTCTTAGAAAAAAATTGAAATCAAAAGCATTGTAGAGAGGAAAGTGTCTCCTCTATTTTCTACGATCATTTCTTCGTCTCTAAGATAAACTTTCTTTCTTTAAAAGATAAATTTGCAGGTCTTTCTCGATCTTCGAAGTTCACAGTTGCAACAAAAAAAAAATTAGTGTAATCTCAGTCATTCCTACCTTGTGGAGGTAACAAGATTGTTACCGACACTTCATCCGTAAAAGAAATACTAAGGCTCAGATCTGTAATACTTACCACACGACAAGAGAGACTGAAATCACCGCGCCATAAATGCAAGCACCAATTGTAGGTTCAGATCCGATTTCTATCCATTTATGGTCAGAGAAAGAAGAAAACCATCATGATATTGTAATTTTTGCAACAATTATTATTATTTCTCACTTTGGGGTTGAGAATTTTGAGAAATCAAGCAAAGATAGCTAAGAGTCGTTTGATACATGTTTAATATAAAAAGGATGTTGAATTTTTATTTATTTTTGCAGAAAAATTAAACATGGCAGAAAGGAAGCAGTAATATATAGTGCCCTTTCAACGTCCTCTTGTACTCTCTGCAAATCCTCATTCTTTCCTTTGTGAGCTTTTTATATTTGTTCTCTGTGATAAGAGAGTCAGAAGAGAAGTGAAACAGTTGTTACTATTCTAGAAAGATGTAGAAAATCTAACGTGTCCATTTAGTTGTAGGATTAAAGACACATATAACATAATGTTTGAAAAGTCAAATATACCCTAACTTGAAATTTATTGACTTTAAGCTAACATGTTAAAATAAAGCTTTCTAATATAGTAGAAATATATAAAGAGATTTATGTTCTTGAAATTACTTCGTATATGTCAAAAGAAATGCAAATAAAATGAAGAAAAAAAATAAAGATGCACAATATATTTATCTATATATATTTTTTATGAATTAAGTTATTTGATACGTAGCTAAGTAGGATTCCATAGGCACTAATTTATAGAGTTATTAATCATCCAAAAAAAGTATTTATTATATATATGAACTCTATTACTATATCTAAAAGCTCTTGATAACAAAGCATCATCATCGAATTTAGTAATAAAATTCATACACTGATGGAATATGAATAAGAAAAATATATAGTTTAAATCGTAAAATTTAATACTTAATCAACTTAGAAATATTAATATAATTTTAGTCTATTAAATCACCTATATGATAATTAAATACTAGTAACCACTCCTACAAAACTGTAATATAATTATGTCACTGTAAAATATTTTAGTAATATAAGATAACATTGCAAGTTACCTAAGTCTGATTTCTTTTTCAAGCACATGATTTTAGTATTAATTCCTGATTTTTTTCAAGAACATGGTTTAAGTATTCATTCATCATCCCATACCAATTCACACGAGAGTTGTCAATATGGGCTAGCCCATCCCATTCGACTAACCTATACAGACTTTGACATTTTAGCGATCAGGTTGGGCTAGCCCATTTTTAGTGTGGGCCAGAAAGTCCAACCCACAAGTACGTGGGCTATAGGTCTGTCGGGTCAGTCCACTTTTTTAAAAATTATATTTTCTTATAATTATTAAATAAACTTATAAATTAAAAATTAAAAATATTATTATAAATATCGACAAAATAATATTACAGTTACTATTTGTTAGTCAAATCTATAAATAAAATTATTTTTATAATATTTATTAAGTTTTTTTTCAAGTAAAAGTAAGAATATCTAAATAGAAATATTAACCTAATTATTTTGAATTTGGACTCTCTTTAATTTTAAATTAGGGCAACTTACGGATATAGCTACCCTAATTAAAGTAATTATTCTCCTTAACTACAGTTTTAATAATTACTGGTCGTAGCTACATTTTAAAGTTGCTATACGACTGATCGTTTGTATAATTTGCTTCTTTACAAAGTTGTATACAAAAATGAATTCAAATTTATTTTTTTAAAGGTAATGGCACTAATAACATCTTAATTCTCGGAATATTAAATGGTTAGACTTCATATCAAGTATACTACAAATTCTTCATAACAGTAATCTGATATTTTTTGAGATCTTGATGTCGGCAACTTCAATTCAAAAACAAAATAATTAATATCATTGTTGATCAACAGATACAGAATACATTGAATTTGAGTCCTTTTATTTCTTTTGTATGCATCTGTATAAATCAATTTGTAATTTGGTGTTCTATTATATAGAATTTGTTGTGTATTAGCTTCATCTTTTTTAGATTCAATATTGATTGGATTGGTAGTTTCATTTTTTAAAGTTTTGTTTTATCGATTTTCTATTGTATTTTGGCTTAATTCTATATGAAACGGTTAATTATTAGTTGTTCCAACTGTATTTCAATTGATTTGGTAATGGTGAATTTGAACAAATTAAATTTGAAAATGAAATTATATGAATTATCCATTTATAGTTGGAGCTTTGGTTGAATGTGTTGTATTTTGGCTGAAGTTATATTAATCGATCGTTTATTAGTTGTTCTAATTGAATAAGTTGTTTTGATTGTATTTGAATTAAATGTGTAATGGAAAATTGTATATGAGCATATTTCAAACTGCAATCGTATAAATTCTCTATTAATAATTGGAGCTTTGATCAAATGTGTGCTTTCAATAAATTTTGTGGAATTATTGTCTATATAAAATAGTGTTCGTATAAATGTAGAATTGATATATATAATTGTATAACTTAAATATTGCAGTACATAATTGTATAAAGTAGTCGATATGAACTGAAATCTTTTGAAGATTGTTATATAAACTAGATTTAATGAATTGATGTTTGAATATGTATAATTCATTGATAATTATAATTTTAATAGGATTAATGTATGTAAAAATTATTCGTAATTCTATTAATGGAGATTTGTATGCATTTGTATATTTGATCTATAATCATCTATAGTTGCATCTATTTCAGTCTTTAGTTGCTTCAATTGAGTTTTCAGTTATTTAGTTGAAATTAACCAAAATATTTCATCTTTTTAGTTGATTAACGTGATCCGACTCGGATACGTGCGCAACCCATTTGATTTTAAAAATTTCATGTTTTATTTAAATTTTCCACCGTTTTTGGAAATGATTGTTCTGAAAGCTTGCAACTTTCAGGAACAGTCAGTATCATTTGAAAGGTAATGGTCGTATAGATTCTTAAAAGGTTGTAACCTTTCGGAACATATTCCTCTTGCCTATAAATACCATTCACTCTTCAGAATTTTTCCTTACGAATTTTCTGATTTTCTTCTTCTTCTTCTGCACAAAAAAATTTTCTTTGTGCACTTTATTGCTATTGAGTGGTTCGCTGACACCAGAGTTTTCGGTATCTATATGCTGGTGATTGAGATCTTTTTACTCTGGGAGGACATATTCCAAATCGAACCTCGATACTAGAGGAGAATAATTTCCTTAAGGTGACATTGTGAGTTCACTGGACTTGATCTTTTTCTTGTTAAAACTTTTTCAGAGCCTGGTACGTTTTACAAATTTTAGTTTTTGTGAATTAAATTTCTATTCATCTTTCTTACTAGTTCAATAAATTTAGGTTACTTTGTGTTTCTATAAAATTTATTTTAAAAAAATTTCTAGCACTGATTGGCAATAATTTTAAGAAAATTATTTTATTATTATTAATTTGTGTTTCTGGTGGAGACAAAAATCTTCGTGATTTTATACTACTTGAAGTTTGCAATTATAAGTTATTGCTTACTAAGACTGTATCGACTTTTGTTTATCAGAAATGGCAAATAATGGTGTTACAGTGGCTATTTCTGCACCAACCGGAACTGTTGTACCACAAGCATAGAAACCGGGTAAACTCACTTATGTGAATTTCAAAGGATGGCAACAATAGGTCCATTTCTGGCTTTGGTCTGCAAAAATTTGCCAGTGAAGAAACTCCAGTGTCTATCGCTGATATGCCAGACCGAAAAATTCATGATTATTGATACATCGAAATAGGCAGAGTTCCTATGTAAAGACTACATTTTGAGTGTTTTAGAGGATGACTTATATAGTGTCTATAGTGTAATAACAACTTCAAAAGAGTTGTGAGATGAACTTGAGAAGAAATATAAGGCAGAACAAAAGTTTGTGGTCGCAAAGTTCTTAGTCTATAAAATGGTAGATAGTAAAAATATTGGATCACAAAGCAGAAATTCAACTTATTCTCCTTGATCTGATTGCAGAAGATATGGTAGTAAATAAAGTTTTTCAAGTGGTTGCAATGATCGAGAAGTTGCCTCCTTCGTGGAACGACTTCAAGAATTATCTAAAGTACAAGCGTAAAGAAATGAAGCTTGAAGCTCTTGTGATTCGGCTCAAGATTGATGAAGATAAAAAAAAACACCGAAAAGAATTCTCTTAAGAGTTCAATAGTCATTGGAGTTAATATTGTTGAAGAAGCTCCTACCAAATACAAAAAGAGAAAGAAGTCCAACGGGTAGAAGTCATAGGCCAAGAAGAAATTCAAAGGCAACTGTTATAACTGTGGCAAGGTTGGTCATATGTCTTATGATTGTTGTTCTCCAAGAAAGGATAAAGACAAAGGCGAAGGAAAAAATCAAGCGAATATCGTGGAAGAGATGGAAGATGCAGATGACTTGTGTGCAATGATATCGGAGCGTAACTTAGTTGGAAATTCCAAGGAGTGGTTTCTCGACTCAGGTGACACTCAAAATATTTTATTTGCAAAAGAATCTTTGCAACGTACACTTCTGCTGAGTACGATGAAGATTTGTTCATGTGAAACAGAGCGACAGCAAGGATTGTAGAAATTGGAAAAGTAATCTTGAAAATGACATCCGACAAGGTGTTGACTTTGAACAGTGTTCTGCATGTCCCTACTATTAGGAAGAATTTAGTTTCTGCTGCACTACTCGTTAAGAATGGGTTTAAGTGTGTCCAGTTAGTGCTAAAGTCGTAATAAGTAATAATGAGATGTTCATAGGAAAATGCTACCTCAATGAGGGTCTTTTCAAACTTAATGTAATGGTTGTTGATAGTATTAATTAGAATTATGCTTCTATTTACTTAATGAAGTGAAATGATATATGGCATGCCCATTTGGGACATATAAATTACAAAGCCTTGCGAAAATTGGTTAATGTAGAAGTATTGCCTGATTTTAAATGTGATAAATCGAAATGTGGAATTTGTATGGAAAGTAAGTTTGTTAAACATCCTTATAAGTCTACTGAAAGAAATTCCAAAACTTTAGAATTAATTCACACAGATATATACGATATGAAGTCTACACCATCTCGTGGTAGAAAAAAGTATTTATTAACTTTTGTTGACGACTGCACTCGATTTTGTTATGTAAATTTGGGTAATAGTAAGGATGAAACAATTAATACATTTAAGCAATACAAAATGAAGTGGAGAACTAATTGAATCTAAAGATAAAAATAATTCGGAGTGATATGGATGGAGAATATGAATATCCTTTTGCAGAGATATGTTTGGAATATGGTATTATTCATCAAAACACTGCACCCTACACACCACAGTCAAATGGTTTGGCGTAACGGAAGAACAGAACATTAAAGAAAATGATAAATGCCTTGATGATGAATTCTGGTTCACTGCGAACCCTTTGGGGGTAAGCCATCATTACGGCTAATAAGATACTCAATAGGGTACCCCATCGAAAAA